ACGTGGGCCAGGGGAGCGGTGCAATCAGGAGAAGGCATCGGGGCGCGTGGTCACCGCAAACGGCCCGGATCGGCAGCTGTGCAGTGTAGGAGAAGGCGATTCTTCACATGTGAGGGGAGGGGATCCCGGGTGAGGCGGCAGTGGGTGCTCACGATGGCTTCACGTGAGGGATGGAGTGGTCAGAGGAGGAGGAGAGTCAGTTGAGGGGGGGCAGAAGAGGATACTGGTACAGGACCCTGGCGCGGCATCTGCCGGTGGCAGGGCGTAGCATTTCGGTATCATCACCGAGGAGCCACTGCCGACTGGGTCCTCATCTCAGAGTACGACGTCTTGGAGTCAAGAGCCTTGACAAGAGGTGAGCAAATATTTGACAATTGTCCGTCGCTCGACAAGACGACTGTCATTCCTCGCGGGGCACCCCCTCCTTTCTTATTGCCATGCGAGTGACGTCTAGTTTCACAGGCCCCTCATCCCGAGCGCGACGGGTTCATGCATGTCAAACTGGCGGGAATGTTTGTTGTGTTCGCCGGACAATAGGGAGCCAGAATAGTCCAGACGGGCAGGGAACTGGGGCATTGAGACAACCAGACAGTGAAGAAATGCTCAGGGTCCGGGAGGGGGAGCTGCCGATGTCGCGGGAGGGGATGAAACTCATGCCTCCCCGCTGTGAGGATGGGATGGTTAATGGCCGACGAGGTTGGTGATGGGCGGGTTCAAGTTTCCGGCGCGGCGACGTTTCGCATGTGTGTGCTGCCCTTGATCACGCCGTGAGGACGACAGAAGACAGACGTACAGTGCGGTTTATTGGCGATAGTGGCAGGCTGTTATAGCCATGGGAGCTGGAGGTCCATGCGACGAGCAGCAGCTGTCAGACGGGGGGGAAACTCACTGATCTGCCGACATCAGGCCTCCCCGAATCAGATCTACAGGCTGGTCTGGTCTGGCCTTGCCTTCAGGGTCCCCCTCTTTGAGGCATGGACTCGCTGCGATTCAGGGATATACCACGTCCTTTCTTATCGGGTGGGAAGCGAAGGGTTGTGAACAAGGTCATCCCCTCGAGAGTGGTGGACGGTCCTCCCCTGGAGGTGGCCGTGCGATTTGAAGCCAGGACAGGGCAGACGCGAGCGCGGGGCAGACTGATAGAGGGGAAGAGGGACAAAGAGATGAATTGAGGAGGATGTGGCTGCTGTTGGGCTGTGACGCGGAGTCGACGCCGAGGCATATGGGATGGATGTTGAATGGGAGGCGGCCGGGAGTTCGGAATAGGGGGCGCCTTGGCTCTTGTTCGGTTCGGAATGGTCTCGGGCGTGGTCCACGCGATGGGCGCATGGAATGTTCGTTGCGAGGGGGACAAGAAACGGCGTGAGACCAGAGGACAGGCTGATCTGGTTCGGGATGCCTCGTGGTACTCAGACAAGCCGTCGATAATGCACTGTATGTTTTCCATTCAACCATTGCCTCCGAGTCCAGTCTCAACTTCAAGCGGCACTTGGAAGCATAATTGACGTTCAGGGAGATCATCCCGTCTTTCCCTCTCGCCAGTCTTCTAGGGCCAGGCCTATTCAACGTCCCCTCTGCCAGCTTCGCCTTGTTCAGCACAGCGCCCGCGCACTGACACGCCTCCGGTCCATCCCAAAACCTCGCCAGCGTGTGCTCGCTCCCCCTCCCACGAGGACCCTCAAGCCCCCCGGACCACCCGGCAGACCCGCGTCCCTGTCCGTGCCAGAACTGTCAAAGAATCACGCCCCCCTAAAAAGAGGTCCCCTGCCCATATCGTCGCCCAGCACTTGTCACCCAATATTGACAGGGAGCCAGAAGCCCCCCCCCCCCCCCCCCCCCCCCTCTCTCTGTCCCCTGGAGGCTGTCCTCTTCGTTCCACGTCAATGCGCGGGCGCGGCGCCGTTGACGACTCAAGATGCCCCCCCGCCCCTCGAGAATGGGAACAGCCGCGCTTGTTTGCGACTCGAGCGCCATTGATCGGCCAACTGCCCCCTCCCCCTAACGTGCGGCTGGACGGGAGAAATATGCATCTCTCGAGGCATCCCGCGCTCGGATCGGGCGTGAGTGAGGATTATCGTGAGGAGTGTTCCTAGCACCGCGCTCGCGCTTTGACCGCGACACCCTTGACCTGTCGGCACTTCTCGCTCGACTCCTGCGACGGACACCCGCGCTGAGCTTAGAGGCTGAAGAGGCCGAGGGCGAGGAACAAGACTTGGGGTGACGCTTTCCGTGCAAGAGTAGTCGGGTCCTGGCTCAGCTTGCAGCTCGATTATGCCAGATATAGGACCACTCCCGATGACTGCCATCGGCTTGAGGATACAGACGGATCTTGCTTCTCTCGTATCAACAACTTTCTCTCAGATACCGCAGATATCAGCATCGGATCAACCGGCCATGCCCCGACCACCCCTGGCTCCAGCGCTCTTCTCCCCCCGGCTTCAGTCCTCTCCCCCCCCCCCCCCCTGGCCATTTTACCCCCGCCATGACGGTATTGCGATCGGCTTGCAACGTCCTCTAAGCAGCCATAGAGCGGACAAGCCCCCTCGACCTCTCTCCTTCGAGGACACCAGCTCGCAGTGGCCCCAGGCCCCCAGCCCAGGCCGACGGACCTGACTCCGCCCGCCATTGCCGCTCGCTGACGTGCCGATCAGCGGGCTCTGTTGCGACCTCGGCGACCTCGAGTGGGTATTTGCTGCCCGATGACAGCTCGTGGGGTCCCCAGGGGAGCGCTCATCTTCCAGCGGCAGACGTCGAAAATGCGCCAAAACTTCCTCGTATTGAAACAACCCTGCTGCGATCGGCGCTGAAGGACGCTTGTTGGGAGGCCTTGTTCCAGACCGCAACCCCCAAGACAACGCCTGAAGGCGTGATATCGGCGTTAAAGGATTATACCCCCCGCAAGGTCATGGGTCTCGGGCGGTGAGGGAAACAGAAACGTCGACGTCCATTCAGCCCTCCCACGCGTTGGCGTTGCTTTTCCCCTCCCGCGTTGCCCTTCGCCTCGCCTTGTCACCTGACGAGCCTGGACGCGACTGGTCGCCGGGAACGTTACATCCGACGTGTTTCTCATGCACACGCGGAGCGACGCCAGCGTTACACCGTCGCGGCGGCCGAGGAGGGGGAATCCCTCTCAGACAATAAACGTGATGGCCTTATGTGATGCGTGATCGACGAACTTGGGCAAGGGCAAGCAGGGTCAAGGTAGGCTAGACTTGATGGTACCATCGCCGCCGCTGTCGCCGAATATTGCTCTCGCGAACACCTGCTGTTGCAGGGATTCAAGTCGGAGGAAACGCTCCTGATATAGTGGTATCGTTATGGCCGTTCGCCATGGGTTTGGCGTTCAAACATTGCTACGACGTGATGCATTGTGATGGTGTTGAGGGGATGTGACCTCGGAGGATGTGGGACGGATTTGGGGCGAACGCCCGTCATGGACTGTCACTAAACAGCTGTAACGCCGCGACACATGACATATTCTAGTAGCTTCTGTAGTGATATCAGGCAAGTATTAATAGTGGCGAAGGTTTGGAACAATCATGTGGAGCGATCAGCGTTACGGTCTGTCGATAGTGGCGTGAAGGGAGTTGAGATGACTTCTGGACTCACAGTGACACGCCGAGGCTTACAAATGGAGAAGCACTGAGTGTCTCATTGAGTCAGGATAAGTCGCAATGGTTACGAGTTTAAGAGCAGTTGTCATGCGAGAATCTGGTAGCCATTTAATCTGAAGGGGGCACATTGGACTATTCTCTGGATGCCTGTCTTGAATCTGCCTGCCGAGTTGAACAACGCATGGAAAATTCGCGAGCTCACCTGCATAAGCTCCTAAGAAACATGACTAGTTTCAACACTTTCAAAGTCAAGTCCTAGGGTCAGTTCTCGTGCATTTGCCATTTGATCATGGTGTCGTTGTAGAACTTGGCACGATGTTCAGAGTCGAGTCGGGACCTTGATACCACATGCAACATACCTTGCCTCGACTTTACAGGACCCGACTAATTCCAACGGGCGAAAGATGAATGGCGTCTTTCAGGGTATCAGTCGATCGTTGTTGCTTTTGTTGTTGTTTTATTTGGGATCGCCTGATTGCTATGCGTGCCGTACCATTGCCAGCGCCACGAAACAACATTCTCTGGATAACGGGGAGGAAAATTGGCGGGACAGTTTGTCGGCAAGTCCAAATGGCAGCCAAGCGGCCCTAATTCCACTTTGTAATGACCGAGAGCTCACACTTATGGATTCATGACCCCGCGAGACTTGCAATGCTTTTAATGGTCGGCTTATACGTGCTCGTCTCGCCAGAAAGTTCTCCTGGACATGCCTTAACCTGAGAGGCAGAACAATCGAGAACTTCCCATCCATGTTGTAAAAATTACATAGGCTACTCCAAATCATCTATTAAATAAATGCTGCATTTGTAGGGGCGAATGATGGGCGTGTTCTCCGGATTCCGTGGTAGTTGTTTGTGGCTGTTATGTACCCAACTCCACCGCCGACAAACATCAACCAGCTCGGATCGTCTAGTTGGTTAGGATGATGCATTGTGGTTCCTACTACAATACTGCATTGACGGCAGTTCGAATCCGCCTCCGAGCACACTTTTTGCCGTTTGGAGGCACATCGGGCCTGAAGACTTTTTTTTGTTGGATCTGGATCCGCTCTGAGATGGATCCCGAATCTTTGCCCAATTGCTTCCACCTTGCAGCACCAAGGATGATTTACTTCAGCTCCGCCTTCCATGGCAGTAGGTGTCGCATATCTTTCAGGTTGAGATGTAGGACAGAACGACAAGTCCATGAGTCCATTGATCAACCCATCAGCGCTCCGCCCCCTAAAACCTGCATCCTCTGCTGGACCAACCAACCCAAATATGCAAGCAATCTCTTGCCACTCCTAGTACGTCTGGATCCTCTCCAGCCTCTCTCAGCATCTTGAACCTCTTCAACTACAACACCGAAAGACATCACACTTCGAAGACTCCTGGCTCTCATCAACGAGGCGAGATGGCCGAGTGGTCTAAGGCGCTAGTTTCAGGACTTTGATTCTACAGAATCAACACCTTGTCTACTAGTCTTCACAGGCGTGGGTTCGAATCCCACTCTCGTCAGTATTCACTTTTGCTATTCGTGGATGAATCACTCCTATCGTGGACGTTGCCTTTTTGGATCGTTGATATCTTCATTGGGGAGCCAACCGCCTCCCGCTTCGTCGAAATACTCGCTGTCTATGTAAGCCAAATGCTCGCTCGCTTTCATATGCTGAAACAAATGCTCGCTATCCATGCCAAAACCAATGCTCGCTGATGTAGACCAGAACGCCAAAATCAAATGCAAAGAGTCATCTCGCTGGAGAACTCATCGGCAACCCTGGGAGCTCCTCAGAGACCCATGTCAAAGGCCTCCTCGGCATGAGGCTCCATATTGTAGAGCTCCTCAGGGACGTGGATCTCAGGAACATGAGAAACAGCAACATTGGGCTCGGCAGCTGCCCTTCGGGTGTTGCTCCTGCGGCGCCTGCTGATAGGGACGGAAACCATGCGAGAGCTGGGAACCTTGGCGTTGCAGCGAGGCAGCATGAAGTCGGAGTAGATGACATTCATCATGCGGAGCTGATTGCTCAGCTGGTCCGAGTTCTGGGGCAGCTGGGCCAGTCCGCCGGGGACGAGGAGGTCATAGGCTTTGAGGATGGCTGCCTCAGCAAAGGCCTCGATGTAGTTCGTGGTGGCGTAGGAGGTGGGAACATGGCCATCCTCGAGGAAGCGGTCGCGCCAGACGGACTGGTCGGTCCAGTACTCAGTGCCGCCGGTAGAGCCGCTGCCCAGCTTGATCAGGTCCATGGCGTGGGCCATCTCGTGGATGAGCAGACTGGGAGACTCCCAGTACTTGTTCTGGACGACGATTGTCGGACCGGACTGCCATGCTGCGAGGCCTTCCTTGACTTCGGGGATGGCGACGAAATTGCCGACCCACTGGCGCATACGGCCGGTCAACGTGGCGAGGCCGGTGAAGATCATCTCAGGGGTGGCCGGGGTGTTCTTGTGGCGGCAGACGATGAAGGGCTCAGCGCAGTCACCAAATGTGACGCTGTAGACGTCGATGTCCTTGCCCTCGATGCCTTCCAGGTAGGGGCCGTTGAAGCAGGTTTCGGGAACCCATCCGGCTTCTAGGAGCTCGGCTTTGTAGGTGGTGGGCTTCATGGTGGCCTTGAGCCCGGTGTTGATGACGCCCCAGGTGTCGTACTCGGGCTCAACGATGGTGTAGTTGAGCTTGTCGGCCGTGACAAGGCTGAACAAAGCAGCCACTATGGAAGCACGGCTGAAGATCATGGTTGCTGGGATGTGCTGGTGTGATAGATGTAGACAGGGATGAGAGGATGAGAGGATGAGTGTGATGGGAGCGTGGAGGGATGAAGTGATTGGATGATGAGTTGATTGATGATGCAAAAGCTAATGATCGGCGAGATCGTCGTGAGTTTATATCGTCTTCAAATTGCTTCGACGGAGTCGTTGCCAACGCATTCTGGTTATTTTGGTTGAACATCGTGAGGCGCAGACTGATGCTGAGCGGGCTGTGGGCCGGACGTCCAGGGGTGTCAAGGGTCATCGATGTCAGCCGTCAGCGTCACCCAGGCGGTGACTGCGCAAAGACAGGGGCCGGTAGGCGGCTAAGTGCTCCTTCGGGCCTTGAGTCTCGGCATCAAGCAAATGGATTGGGCTGCTGGGGACTTGAATTGACTGGAGGAACAGCGCCGAGCTGTGAACACTTTGCTTCCGGACGGATCAATTGCAAAAGGAAGTCTAGGCAAGGCGCAATCGTTGCCCAGCAAACTCAGCCAGAGTTTGAGCAGGGGATAGGGGCTGATGCAAGACCGTGCCTGGTCAGCCTTCCGGCAGCTCGCGCTCTCATGCCGCGCGCCCAGCAGCAGACCGAAAGAAACTACCGTGACCAGCTCAGCCGGTGGAATAGAAGGTCAGAGAGATTATGACATTCGTTCTTCAGCACCGCTATCATTGGTCAAGCTACCGGGGCCTCGCGAGCAGCCAGACACTGGCGCACACCCGTCACAGCATGTGACATGTCGGCCCGATCGAAGTGAGTCTCTCATCAAAGGCCGCCTGGCTCAATTGGCAGAGTATCTGACTACGACCAGTAGTTTCATCAGGAGGTTGCAGGTTCGAGCCCTGCGGTGGTCATTGATTTCATTTTTGCAGCCAGCGGGAATAGCTGCATGTTCTTTTTGGCGTTGAAAACTCTGCAGAGAACTTCGCTGGCAAGGAGCGGAGCGCGGGACCTGGAAAAACATGCGCCACTACTAAGCGCCGTTGCGGTCTGGCGGCTGTTGAAGTGGCTGTGCTCGGCGAGCTCAGGGGCTGTGGCCATACAGAGAGCTTCCCGGGTCTCGGCGTCATCCTCTCTGCAGCCCTACGATAAGGTGAGCTGGCCTGGCAGGGGTGCGAAAATAGGTACGGCTACGCCTCGTTGGAAGATCCGAGAGATGAGAAGAGCGTGGCTTATTTTGAGCCTCTGCCCGCAAGGCACAGATCTCGTGTCTCCAGAGGCATGTCTTTGCACGTGCTCCCATCATCGGCTTCGAGACCTTAGTCGGCATGTAGCGCGAAGGCGGTCTAGAATCGTGCCATGCTGCACGGCCCTGGCCCCGGATCCCGGATCCCAATCCTCGCGGGCGGCCAAGGAGCTTTCTCTCAGACGCACTGCAACAGCCGCGCAAAGCCATGCAATCAACGACTTCCCCTGAATCGCCAGCGGCCGCGAGACAAGGTCGAGCCCTTGAGGCCGCGACTCGGCACTCCTGAGAAACATGCCGGCGTCAACGTCTGATGTCTCTGGTGCCGCTCCACCCGCAAAGTCAACCCTGACCCAGAAAGACTGCCCGCAACCCGGGGGCACGGCACCAGCGCTTGGATACTAAACCGTTCGGCTCGTCCCCTCCGCACCTTGGGGAAAGGGGCCCAGGATCGGTTGGTCGGCAATTTGGAGTCGTCGTTCGTAGGGAATGAAACGTGGTGAAACTTGGCGTACGTACGCCGCTAGGGGCTCGGGACGCGTGCAAGCACATTCGATGAACGACTTATCAGGGTCATCTGGACGGCGATGCCCTCGGGGCATTGGGTTGGTTTGTTCAGTTTTTCCCTTGAATCGCCAATATGCTGCACCGCGACCAATTACCGCAGATTGTTCTGCTGGCGGTGGTTCTCCTGATCGTCTGGAGCGTTCGCCTGCTTGACATCTTCAACCTGCCGGATACTATTGCCGCTGTGTTCAGGGAGCGAACTGGCGAGACTTCAGATGAGGCGTTCATCAGAGCAGCGGCAGAGGTGGAATTTCCGACACCAATGGACTTTACGCCCCTCCGAGATGTCTGCACGAAGACACAGTTCCAGCCGGGACTGCTGTTTACCTGCGAGGGCCAGCATGGTGGCATCGGGATGGTGCGGAATCAGATCCTCAAATGCGTCCGGTACGCCATACACGCCGGCGCAGCTCTCGTCGTTCCATCCATGGCATTGCGGAACGCAAAAGACATCACGGATATCGAGACCACCACCGAGGTGCCGCTGGACTACCTCCTGGATCGGGAAGCGTTTGTGACACGGCTTTCTCTGGGATGCCCAGGCATGCAGATCTACAACTCGGCAGAGGAGTTTCCATCCTACGAGAACCGCTCAGGGGAGCCCTTGTCACTACTTGGCGACCAGTTTGAACCAGACCACCCACGCGAGGGGTTGGAGCATCCAGAGAAGTGGAGGGCCTCCTTCGACGGTTGGCTCAAGAGACATGACGAACGGCCACGACCAGAAGCCCCGGTCCATGTTCAGATCCAGCAGTCTTTCCTCGAATACCCCGTTCAAAATGACGGCGTCGCATTTGCGCGCGAATTCGGCAAGATCCTGTCCTTCCGGGAAGACACGCGCGAGCTGGCGGCGAAGGTCCTCCTTGCGCTCAAGAAGAAATTCAGACTTCCAATCGATCCGTCCCTCGCCGTCAACCCAGGGGCATTCTACGGCGCCCATTTGCGCCTCGAAAAGGACGCCATCGCGGCCTGGGAGCCGGAGGAGTGGCGCTTCTCTCGGAAAGATGACCAGTTCTGGGAGCAGACGCGCAACCTTGAGCGGAGCGGTCTCAGTGTCGTCTACGTCGCGTCAGGAGACCTGGCGGTGGTCAAGGAGTTTGAAAAATATTTGGACACAAGCTCTGGCGCGAGGGAAGCGACTGTGCCAGTGGTGACAAAGTATGACCTCCTCAAGGGGGCGGATAGGCGGCAGCTCGATGCACTGGCGTTTGACCAGCAGGCGTTGGTGGACTTCCTGGTCATGTTCAAGGCGAGTGCATTCATGGGGGTGGCTCACTCGAGTTTCCCGTGGACGGTGGCATTGCGAAGGCATGAGTTGAGTCGGTATGAAGGATATGCGAACGAGGGGTCGGATATTCTGAAGGATGAGTATAGCGTGATCATGGGAAAGGAGAAGGATTATCCGTACATAGATCCATTTGTTACTGGCATATGGCCATGAATGGAGGTAGAAATTAATAACGAGATCATGCAGCGTGTTCATACAGAGAAGAAATGGTATCTTGTAAAGCCTCAAGGCTGTCAGTTGATGACTCGCCTCACTCACTACTTCCCCTCCCCTTTCCCAGCCTTCTCCTCCCCGCTACCGTCGGAGCTCTTTCGGATCATGTCGTCCTTCTGTACCTCGGCAAAAGACGGCGGTGCGTCCTCCTCGGCCGGAGGATGAATCCACGACTCGGTCCTCGCCTGGAACGGTGGCGGCGGGGCCTCCTCCTGCTCCTGTCCACCGTTGCTTCCGACCTGTGGCGGCAGTGACACCCCCGCGGCTGGCGGCAAGATTGTCAACTTGCCCAAGACACTCATCTTCATCTCACGTCCCGCGACCACAGCGACAAGTTTGATGCTCATAGTGTGCCAGTGCTTGATGTTGTACGTTGAAAATCCAGGACTGAGTACATCGCTGGTCGACCGGCTTGGAACTCTCTTGCACATGTAATCCGGGAGGCGGAAGCCGACGCGCTCGCCAATGTCGATTGGAGGCCACTCGCCGGTGCATGGGATATAGAGTGGCTCCGG